TATGACTTCTGAAGCTAAGTCACAAGAGGCGGTACATCTTCTTCCTGGTTCATTATTTCTCTAAAAAAGTTCACTCTTGGACTTTAGTCACCAAGTTTTGTGGGTTTGGTTTTTTTTTGTTTGTTTGTTTGTTTTTGTTTAGATAAAGAAAAAGTTTACCGAGGAGAAAGGGAACAGAAATAAAGCAGGACTCCCAGGCTGGTGGGACCAAGCCAGGTCGGGGAAAGGAAGCCCTTGGGTCACCAAGTTTTAAGGAAGCTCAGGACACATGGAAATATTGTATTCAGTTTTCTGACCAACTGCTCCAGTAAAGATCCTAGCCAAAAGCCAGTATCAACTATTAGACAAGCCTTCAGATGATTCCAGTCTACAAGTCATTCATAGGCTTTAAGTCTATCAGCTGAGGTTCCAAACATATTATGAAGCAGGGACAAAATGTGAAATTAGTCCTCAAATTTTGAGCTGCCACTGCTAATAAGGCTGAATTCAGCAGACATAAGCAATCTTGACAGACTCTCCAAATTGCAGATTTCTGAACAAAATAAATGTCTTTGGGGGGTTTAAGTTTTAGGGTGGTTTTATAGACAATAGTAGATAGCTAAAACACATTTTGGTTTTAAGAAGAAAAGCACAGGAAAACAAAACCTAATATTTTATGGTAGTAGCTTTAGGACAGGAAGCAGGCAGAAATGAGAAGGACATTTAGGTGTGTGATAGTGAAATCCCAATGGGATCAAGGAGACTATTAAGAGAGCACATCAGACTTTGAAAAGGTGGCTAAGGTAAGGACTTAAAGGAAAGAAAGAAAAATGTTATTAGAAGCTGGAGAAAGGGGGACTAATTGTTAGACAGTGACAGAAAGTTTAGCAATAACATCTCCTGTAGTAAGGTAGAAAATAAGGCGTATACCTATTTCGTAGCTAAAGAGCTATGTAGAAAGAGGTTTCAAAGTGCTTTGCCTCCTGTCTCCTTATAGCTGCCTGTAGTAAAATGCAAGGAAGAGAGATAAGCTAAAGAAAGAACTGTTATATATAAAGTCTTCAGGACTTGCTGTGTTGGAAAAGAAAACTGTTTCTCATTCCCAGTCTCACCAGATGGCAAATGATGCTAAAATTAAGATATGGCTTCTGAGCAGAGATCAAATCCAGGGTGCTGTCAGGAAAACATGGTCTAAATATAAAACCTTTTGTTAAGCCTCATAAAGATTTAAGACAGTTCCCTGTTGATAATTTCAAACACCCCCATTTGTAGGGGGTGCCTCACCAATTCTTTCCATAAAACAATAGGATTTCTAAGAAGCTCAACGGAGGTATCCTTAGAGAGAGCCCAAGTTAAGAAAAGGTTTACCTCAATGAGATTTGGACATCTTTCTTTTATCTAATGGGGTGAGCTGTAAATTGATTCATAAGAAACCCACAAAGTGTTTGAAGGAATTTTATAAAACCCCTTTATACAGAAAAGGATAGAGAAAATACAAAATTAGAAGCGTCCTTTGGATCCCAAAAAAATCTACAGAAGAGAAAAACTAATAAAATCAGTCAACTGCAAAGATGACCTACATATTATGGAACAGAAAAGATAAGTTAGTAGGTAGAAAGAGCCCAAAAGGCACACTAGAGTGAGCCATGGAGAGAATTCAAGGTACACGTACTAAGCCTAATCAAGTAGCTGGTAACATTAACCTGACTGTATTTCAGAACAGTCATTAACCAGTGACTGCTATGTTTATCCCTTTTTGAACATGACTAGTACATTTAATGATTTTCCTCCATCACATAATTGTATGTCGGGTATGTGTACTATCTCTTCAGTTCATAGATCTGCAGATCAAGAGGAATGGCACTCAATATGCTAAATCCATGCAACCACACCCCAAAATTTTCATATGATTTAGATGACAAGATCCTGGACCTCAAGCCTGAGCCAGTGAGCTTGGGAGAAGAGTCATGGGGAAAAGAGTGAGTGTATTTTGCACATGGAAGAGATGTAAATTTGTGTGACCTGAAAGTAAATTGTGACAGACTTTAGTTTCCAATAACAACCTCCACAATACTTTTGGTTCTAAAAGCTCTTCCAGAATGTTGCTGCCTCCCCACCGTACTGCTCCCCCCTCCCCCATTGGTGGAATATGTATTCCATCCTCAAAAACCTGGAAGGAATTTAGTGATTCCTTCAAAGAATACAATACTGTAAAAGTGATGCTGGCAGCTTCTGAGGCTTGAGCATAAAAGAATTAGAGCTTCCAACTAACAGAATGAAATGGTACATTTGGAACCCAAGCCCCAAGTTGCAAGGAAACTTAACGTACAGGGGAAAGGCCAAATATAAATGTTTTGACTGACAGCACTAGCCAGAGTACCAGACAATAGCCAAACTCAATTGTGACTTAAATCTTTACATGATTCATTCCCCAGGCTTCAGACATTCCAGGCTGACAATGAATGGGTAGAGATGAACTATTCCTATCACACTGATCAAAGTACAGAATGATGAGCAAGACAAACATCAATTTTTAAAGCACCAAATTATGAGGTTGTTTTGCAACAAGGGCTAACCCAAACAACCAACAAGAATACTGTATGCTCATCTATTTTACAAACAAGAAATATTCTGAAAATCACACAGCATGTAAGTGGCAGAGCTTAGCTATAAACACCAGGTCTCTGAATCCACAGTTTGAGTTCTTTCCATTCTTTGATGCATTCCTATAAGAGGACATAGGTTGACCAAAAACGACATTAGTTGAACTAGAAAGTCCATTAAGTTCTAGCATAAAAAGACTGAGCCCAGTGAAAGGAAAACCAGCTCTGTAGTTTGCCAAATATAGAAGCCTTGGAAACAAGGCGCATTTCACATTTGACCATAAATATTTCAAAAAATATTTATGGTCAAATTCTGTTTTTATATTTATGAGCTGTGGTGTGACCTCCAGGATGCTACGTAATTTCTTTGTGTGCAAGCTTCTTCACACAAGCTTGCACACAAGCTAAAATATCAAAATTGTTATGAGGATAATTTTTGTACGGAAATAAGAAAAATGTATTATTAGTCTGAATGTCTTAATGTGGTTATCTTAAAGTCCTGGTGGAACATGGATGACCCATCCAGTGCTCTCTGACCTCTGACCAAAACGTCAACAGTGAACTTGGCCATTGTCCCTTTCTCTCTACCTGCCACCTCTACCCCTAGTTTTAGATATTCATTGCCCTTAGGGCATGCAGCTGGCCACATTCTCTACTCCTAAAAAAAAGGTTTTCATATCTCCTTCACCATAAACTACCTTGAGTTTTAGCTAAAATCGATTATTTGAAGATATTCAAGTGCAAATGAGGCTTAACCCTATGAGAACTTTGCACTTTAAAAGAACAGCTACTTAACTACTATGAATCTCTAATTGTTAGAAATAGTGGGAGAGACATTTTGTTCCCAGAGTTCTTTGCCTACTCTGTTTCCTCCCACAATAAGCAAAAATTATTCCCAAAAGCTACTTTGTAACCTCTCTGCTCCCCTTTTGGAAAACACTCTATATCCCAGATTCAAATAGAAATGAAATTATTTTGCCTGGGAAGAGAACTGAGGTTGGCAGGAAAACACAAGAGAATTTACTTCTAAATTGTGATGATATTTTTCTACCTCTCCCTCCTAAAACAGTGCATCAAGTTGGGTGGGGGAGCACCTTGACATTGTATGTGCTTGCTGCAGCGCTCATATAATATCATCCTCTTAATGTACTTACTTCCTGGATTAGCTACACTTTTAAAAATACATATTTGCTGGGTTTCCCTGGTGGCGCAGGGGTTAAGTCCCAGCGCAATCAAGCTATCACCACCCACAGCTGCCTGAGTTCCATCCAGGCCAGGGAGCTGACCCACATGGCGCAGCAGACCTCTCTTGTCTCACCCACTGCTCCCCTCAGCAGTGTATTTCAGTGGATCCGCTTGTTCTTCTCCCCACTCTCTCTGGTGAATCCTCTCACCACTACCCCCCACACCTCTTGCCTTGACTCCAGTTCTTGTATGCATAAATAAATAAATCTTTCATCTATATATTTGCTATTATCAGCGACTATTTGAATGCTATCACAGAGAGCATTATGGCAGGGCAACATCACTGTCCACCGTCACTTCATTTTGTTTGAAACTGTGGCACAAAGCATTTCCCTATGCAGTGCTTTGGAGGCTCACCAAGCAGAAATTACTAGAATAAAGAATGTAACTAGAAGCCTGTTTGGAAAAGGCATTTGATTTACTTTCTCTCTTTCTTTCTTTTTTGGAAATACGTAAAGGAGATTTTTACACTTTAGGATAATGAGGCAGGAAAGGGAATAGGAGTAGCTAATGTGTACATATTTTTATCCATTGATACGATTTCCAAAATACATAAAATAAAACTTAAAGTGAAAGGCTGTTCAGGATGGTGGTGTTATGAGAATCCTAGAGTCATCAGACATATAGCTATCTATGGAACAATTCTCTAAGAAAACGAGAATGAGCTTTCTGAACAGCTTCTCCACCAAGAAGGCAAATGGCCCACACCACAACTGGCAGGCGAGGCTGCCTCATGATCGCCAAGGAACTTCACTACCGGCAGCGCCTCCCAGGGGGAGGCATCTCACAAATAGGGATGGGCTTCCTGAGGAGGCAGGGGGTCATACTCCGCGGAAGGCACCCCAACCTCTGGGACCTGTCCCAAAGAGACACCCCACCCGCACCCCCAATCCTCATCTCCCCTCCCCCCAAAAAAAACCCACTTTGGAAACCAACAGACCCACCCCCACCCCCACTAGGAGACCCAGGAGGCAGGGAGGAACAGAGCTCACTCTAAGAGCACAGACTCGCTCATCTCAGGACCCAGAGCGAAACACCAATTTGTAAAGCACCGAACTCGCACATGGAGACGCATAAAATTCCTCTCAAGACACGTGGCAGGGAGGCAAGGGTGCGGGAGATAAGCCAGGGACAGAGGCGCTGGCAGGCACCATTGTGGTCCTTTAGTCCTACCTTGCCGGAGCTGTTGCTGGCGGGATCCACTTAGCCCTGTTTGCTTCTGGAGCCGGCTGATTACCTCGCTGCTCCACTCGGAACGGGATCACACCCTCCACCTCCACCCTCCAGGCCCGCATGGCGCTGCTCAACTGCTCGCCCAGGGCAATCGCTCATCAGGCCCTCACCTGCCTTAAGGGGCCCCACCGCAGAGCCGCTGATGCTGAAGACGTTCCCAGGGATTGACGCCAGGGGGCGCTGTCGTCGTGGTAACCCGTGACCTTGCTACTGCTCGGAAATATTTCCCAGAAAAGAGATTATACTGTCATCTAGAACCCTGATTCTGCAGTTATCCCCCAGGGGGCACCGTTTATCAGGATCTAGAGGCCAGCAGGGGTTTATGAGTGTGGCCTCACAGGCCCATACATATTGTCATACTATAAAAGCTGATGTGGGGACCTCCCTAGTGGTGCAAGGGGCTAAAACAGCAACCTATGCAGTTATCTGCAACCTCTGCAGCGTGAGTTCGATCCCCAGCCGGCCAGGGAGCAACCCACATGGTGCAGCAGACTTCTTCTGACTCGCCCGCTGCTCCCCTTGTTAGGGGGAAAGGATGCCTGTAGGGGCAGGAATGGACACAGTGCAGGTTTTCTGATCCCATGCAGACCGGGTAAAGGAGGAGTCAGAGTCCTCAGTGGTTTTGCAGGCTTTTATTGGGATTACCAGGTACACGGCAGGCAGGGGGGCTGGGGGGCTGGGAGGCTGGCAGTCCTCCCAGCCCCCAGCAAATCCGCACTCTCTCTGGGCTCTCTGTTCTCTGCTTCTGCTTCTTGGCTCCTCTCTCTCGGCTTCTCTTTCGGCTTCTGCTGCTGCTGGCGTCCCCGTGATGCTGCCCTTAAAAGCCCAGTCTCAGCCCAGGTGAATCCCATCTACCTATGCCCATGCCCTATTCCAGGTGTCCACCATCAGGCATGCATTCAGGACCGCAGGACCTCATCATCTATCCTGATGGCGGGAGGGCAGAAAAGCCTGACATTTTTCCTTACCCTACAATGCCCTAAGCTAACTCCATACAGACTTTGTGGACTCCACCCCCACTCCAGAACAAAACCATTAAGACACTGGGAGCTACAAATCCCATCATCACCAAAGGGAGAGTTGCTGGGACCTGAGGGTGGAGTTAAGCAGCCAGGGTTGATATAAAATCAGACATGTGGGTCTTGGGGGTCTTTCTTGGCTTCACGGCTCTCTGCTTGCTGACAGCTCTCAGAGTGCCATAGGGATTCCTGGTCCGCCGAGATGGGTAGGATGCATTTAAGCCTTTATCTCCCTCTTTTCTCCCTGAGTTGTACATTTCCTCATTTTCCCTTCCCTAGTAAATAAACCTTGTATTAACCTTTTGTGTGTGCCTGCAATTGAGTATTAGTAAGTCCCTTTTAAGCGCACGGGTGAGGACCCACATTCAGGTAACTGGTTTTATATCCGGGTTGCCCTGTAACACTCTCAGCAGTGCATTTCAGTCAGTCTGCCTGTTCTATTCCCCACTCTGTGTCTGGTGAATCCTCGCCCCCAGCACCTTTGGCCTGTACTGCAGCTCTTGTATGCATAAATAAATAAATCTTTAAAAAAAAAAAAGCTGATATCTGAAGGGTGTGGCCTCCACAATCAGAAACTAGGTGTTACAAGAGTTGAGTTCCCTCCCCTTGAAATGCTGACAGATCATGGCACGCCCTTAACAACAGAGACAAATACCAAGCTGCTTGACAAGGACACCAGGCCAATATCCCTGATAAATATAAATGTAAAATTTTCAATAAAATATTAACAAACTGAACTCAACAATACATCAAAAAAATCACATTACTATTTATCAGTGGGATTCATGCTTGACATGTATGAATGGTTCAACATTTACAAAATGATCAGCATGATATACTGTACCAACAAAATGAAAGTTAAAAATCATTTCAAAAGACGCAGAAAAATATTTAACAACATTCAGCATCCGTTTATGATTTTTAAATGTTCTCAACTTAGTGGATAATGAGAAAAACACCTTACATAAGACCATCTATGACAACCCAATAGCTAACATTATACTTAATGGTGAAGAGCTGAAGTGCTTTTCCTTTAAGATCAGGAATAAAACATGTGAAGCTGGTTTGCGCTGTTAATTTATCCCTTGAGCCACCATAGGTTCTTGACCCATGAAGCCATAAGAAGAAATTCACAGACTTTTTAGATAAATAAGCAGAGAGAAACAAACTTTATTTAAGAAAGTAAAGAACAACTTATTTAAAGGAAGAAACCAAGGACTCCAAGGTGCATGTACCTGGGAGGGGCAAAGAAACCATTTATGAGCTGGTGTCTATGGGATATTTAAACCCATTTTTCTCTATTGTAAAATCTGATCATCCTATTTTATGATTGGCTCTTTCTCCTAGTGGCTATAGTTCTCTCAGCAGATGTGTCCATTTTCCCAGCTTTTAGCTCAGAGTTTCTCCTTTACCTCCCCTCTCCCAGTTCTCTTAGAATTTACTGTCCTAATGAGGACAGTAAATTAATTTATGAAAGATTTAATTTATGGAAAAGTGGGCAAAAAAATGTAATGGGGAAGAGATAGTATATTCAATTAATGGTATTGGAGATACAGGACAGAGACATGCAAAAGGATGAAACACTGACTATTACACCAAACACAAAATATAAGGCCCAAAACCATAAAATTCCTGGAAGAAAACATAAGTGGGAAACTCCCTGATATGTTTATTTGATATTTTTCTGGATTTGACCTCAAAGGCAAGGGCAACAAAAGCAAAACAAATGGGGCTATAGCAAACTAAATAGCTTCTGCACAATGAAGGAAATCATTAAAAAGCAAAAAAACAAACCACTGCATGGGAGAAGATATTTGCAAATCATATATTCAATAAAAGGTTAATATCCAAAGTATGCAAAGAACTCATAGAAATCATTAAATAAGAAAAATAAACAGATTCAAAGTGAGAAGGGGAACTGAGTAGGCATTTTCCTAAAGAAGATATACACAAGGCCAGTAGGCACATGTAAACATGTTCAATATCACTAATCATCAGGGAATTGAGAATGAAGATTGCAATGAGATGCCACCTCACACCTGTGATAATGGCCCTTCCCAAAATGACTAGAAACAACAAATGCTTACCAGGATGTGGAGAAAAAGGGACACTCTTACCCTGTTGATGAGAATGTAGACTGGTCCAGCCCCTATGGAAAGCAGCGTGAAGGTTTCTCAAAAGACTGAAAATGGATCTACCATATGACCCATGTCAATATAAATGTCCTCTGATGGATGAAAAGATAAAGAAGAGGTGGTACACAGTCATGCAAAACTTTACAATTTTATAAGAAATGCATTATTAGGTGATTTTGTCATCACTCAAGTGTACAGAGTGTAATTATGACTCAATTTCTACAAAGGATACTAATCAGCCATACCAAATCCTGTCATTTGCAACAACATGGATGGAACTTGAGTATTATGTTAAGTGAAATAAGCCACACAGGGAGAGACAAATACAATGTGATTTTACATTTATGTGGGATCTGAAAACTAAACTAAAATCATAGAGGGGCCTCCCTGGTGGTACAGCGGGTTGAGGACAGCACTGTGAAGCTGTCCACAGCCTCTGCAGCATGGGTTCGATTCCTGGCGGGCCAGGGAGATTCCCACATGGCGCAACAGACCTCTCCTGTCGTGCCTGCTGCCCTCAGCAGTGTTATTTCAATAGATCTGCCTGTTCTGCTTCCCACTCTGTCTCTGGTGAATCCTCTCACCCTCCCACGCCTCTGGCCTGTACCCCAGCTATTGTATAAATAAAAAGTAAATCTTAAAAAAAAATAAAGTCATAGATACAGAAAAGAAATTGGTGATTATCAAAGGGAGGAGGGTTAGGAGGCAGATGAAATGTGCGAAGAGGATTAAGAGATATAAACTTCCAGTTACGAAAATATGTAAGTCAAGGAAATGTAATGTGTGATGTGGGAATTATATTGATAATGGCATTGCAAATTTTAAGGTTGGTAATAAAATACAGTAAATATTGCGATAATCATTTAGTATTGTGTACAAACACCAAATCATTTTGTTTTACACCCGAAATTAAAATTATGTTGGTTAACTATACTTCAATTTATAAACTTAGAGTGCATTATAATTTAATCAAATATAAAAATATTTTGTACTAAGAAATATTAAACTGCCCCCATGCAAATTTGTCTCCATTTCTAGTCAATATAGAGTTGTCTATTTCATTACATTTTGTTTAGATCTATTACTTGCATTTTATTTTGTTCAAATGTTCTCTCATAATTATTAAACCTACAGTTTTACCATAGCTAACTTTCATTTTATTTAACCTCATTCTGGTTCCCTTTGACCAATATTTCATCTGTCCAGAGCTATGTATCCATTAGTGTCACTTCTAAGCTCAAAGTATCTGACTATGTAGCAGAAATTTCTAGGGAGCTTTTGCAAATTAAAAACTTCTAAGACCTGGCGCCTCCCTCATGGCACAGGGAGTTAAGACCCAGCACTATGAAGCTATCCATAGCTACTGCAGCATCAGTTCCATCCCTGGCCAAGGAGGTGACCCACATGGCGCAGCAGACCTCTCCCGTCTCGCCCACTGGTCCCCTCAGCAGTGTATTTCAGTGTATCTGCCTGTTCTGTTCCCCACTCTGTCTCTGGTGAATCCTCATATCACTCTCCGCATCTCTGGCCTACACCCCAGCTCTTTATGCATAAATAAATAAAACTTTAAAAAAATTTTCTGAAAAATACCGGATGGTCTCACTCATAGCAGGAATCTAGAAAACTTAAACAAGGGACCAGGAAAATGAATAACTATAAGAAAGTGAAAATCAAAATCAACAAACAACTATGAACCAGAGACACTCTATGGGGGTGGGAGGCGGGGAGGGGAGGGATTGGGGTCAAAATAAGGGGGTTGCAATTGTATGGGGAATATAAAAATAAAATTTATTTAAAATAAATAAATAAGTAAATAAAAATGTAAAAAAAAAAAAAATTTTCTAAGATCCATAGATAGCTACTGCATCATCATGTTTTTCAGATCTGTTGCTTCTTTTCCATTCTC